ATTGTTATGCAAACTATATAAAGATTTTTATATAAAGATTTTTATATAAAGATTTTTATATAAAGATTTGACTTATTATGCAAACGTTTTTGAAGCCATTTAAAAAACTCGCAGGTCGTGTTTTATTAGGTCTAAATCATGCACTCGCGCTGCGCGCTCGTGGCTTTAAACCTAATAAAACACTCCTGCTCGTTTTTTAAATGGTACATAAAGTTTTGCAAGGTGACGAAAGATCCTTTACGTTACAGAAAAGTTTTTTCATTATTTGCCAATTTGGAAAATGTTTGTCATGATTCGGCGTTATATATATATATATATAATATGTATATATACATAATATATATATTTACATGAACTGTAAATTCAATTAAGGCATATCTATTCAGTAGTTCATGACCATCTTGGATAGTTTTTACTCACTGTAGACTTTGATTTTGATTTCTATACAGGTAAAGCACATCACAAGACAAAAGGTCAAAAGAAAATGTCTCTTGCTATGCCACATATTACAAATCTTACACCATTTCAAGGATCTTCACTGTCTAATCAGGTATACTGTAGAAGACTTATATGTTAACTAAAATATTAAAAGTACATTTATCAACATTTAAAGAGCCCTTGAGGCTTGATTACATTAACAAGGGCTTGTTCCTTGTGTATACCTAATACATGTGTAGTTACACAAATATGCAAATGACGTCATAACGTGCATCCTACAAATCATATTCTTACCATGCTATGACAGAGATGCTATGGTATCGTCTATATTGTGTATTTATAACTGATCAAAACTGAACAGGGATTATTGTATGCATGAAGTCAATTCAGCTTATGTTCTATCTTTAGTATCGACAGGAAGGGTTTTTCAACATCTTAGATAGTTTTTTGAGTTTGAAAATTGTCTTCACTCCTCGGTTTGTTTTGGCGCGAAACGCGAGAGGTCCGTATCGTGTGACACGGATCTCTCGGTCAGCCAACCAGAAGGCTCGATTTACGTTACGGACCTGGGGTTGCTGACCGGAAAATAAATATTTATAAAAAGAAATATTTTGAATCGGTCGAATATTCTTTACGATACGATCGGTAGTTCTCGAACAATACAGTGTACTGGCCAAAATGAATATATTTGTAAAATATTTTAATAAATAATTTGTAAAATAATTTGTTTTTCAGGGAACCTCGAATGGCGAAGATCCTAATTTGCCATCTGTATAGGTAAAACACAAGAATAACGGGGTCGTTCATCGATATTGAATATGCATTATTTATAAGCGAGGATAGCGTCTAAATAGCGTGATAGATCCTGATCGACAGCCTACGGCGTCCTTTCACGACGAAGTGACATCAACCACCTCGCCAGAGTTGTTGCATGGTTGAAGATATTGCCAATGACAATTAATTTTAATGTGTACATATTTCAATTGTAATTTTAATGTGAAGTTAGTTGTGATGTTTATAGAATTAAAAGTGTCAACAGTGTTATCATCATGTTATGTTAATGCGTGTTCGTGTGTTGGGTACTGTCAGGACCCCTGGCACGCAAAACTGTTATGTTTTATAAAACTTATAATGCAGTTTGACCACACCCTGCCCTCCAATTCAAAACACACATAGAGGCGTTATACAAATACACGCTTCCGGAAAGTTCGTCACTTTGGCTATAGAGCCTCGTTTTCGTGATTGAGACGCGGCCTTTAACTGATGTCAGATACACGAAAACGAGGCTCTATAGCCAAAGTGACGTACTTTCCCAAAGGGTATATTTTTGCTGCGATTTCTAGTGCAATTTTCTTCTGATGCATGTGAACGAGTAGATAAGTAGTATATGCAGCCTCCACTGATATGAAAACTGGAACTGCATGGATAGTATCTTTTTAAATTTAATCAGCTTGTTTTGAGGCCAGAATATTCATAATAAGTTTATTTTAAAGTCGGCCTACAATGGGACGGTAACTCAATGCGCATGCGAATTTAGGCGATTTATAATGTAAGGAAAGTAGGCGGCGATTTGATGGGAGTTACCATCTCAAAAGTAGACCTGGCCAACTCTGGAACGGTAACTCGCCGCGAGACAATGCGAGTTTAGGCGATTTAAGAAAACTTCGGTCAATATTATAAGCAGCGAGTTTAGGCCGTTGAAGGTGAGTTAAGGCGAGTTACCATTCCAAAGTAGGCCTGTGTTTAATATTAGCTACAACGTGAAGCAAGTGTCTGTTTCTATGTAACTTAAAAGATATAGCTGTTTATCATTTCTCACTGATAAACTAGAAACTGTAAGAACGTCTTCCACTTCCACTATGTCACCAACACTATACTTGCAGATTTGTGGTGGTCACACCAACATGGCCGCGATTGGATTCATTCATGAATAGCGGATGCACTATCCAGTCCTTGCTTTCAGATCAGTGGTAGCCTCAACATTCATCACTCGTTCATGAAGACATCCATCAGAGGAAGAATATCACGGCTATATTGCAAAAATGGCAATTGTAAACGGGCCATCGACAAAGAACGGATGTTTACATGACCTACGATCGGGAGCAGGTCCCATTACCCTTATAGAATATAGTAATGATAGCTGCGAAGGACAAGGAATGCCATGGGCATGGTCGCAACAAGCGGGTTTCCTATATTTAGCTAATCTGTTCATGCCCGACATTAGCAAACATATTCATCGTACAAGAAATATCAAAACAAGCAGAGATGTATGAAAAACGAAAACCTGCTGCAGAGATTCAAATAGGAAACCTTACCCAG